AATAAAGATGGTTAGGGAAAACTGGTATGGTTGACTAGCATTAATCTCAAACAGTGGAATAACTTAATAAAGATGGTTAGGGAAAACTGGTATGGTTGACTAGCATTAATCTCAAACAGTGGAATAACTTAATAAAGATGGTTAGGGAAAACTGGTATGGTTGACTAAATTATTGCATTCATAAATGATGATGTATGCTGATATAAATCTCTAGAAAATGATACAAATGTTGTCATGTATAATGAAAAAATTACATTGTTTAGAAAAACGTAATTAATTTTTCAGAAGACTCTGCCACTCCAGTTGCTACACCAGAGAATGCTAATCATTTGGAGCTAGATCAAGAGTTTGATAAAACACTTACTGAGAATGAAATCTTCCAATCTTTCCCATCTTCTCTTGCTACATCTCCTTTGCCTTCTGAGTCTGTCTGGGGAAGGTGAGTAATTTAAAAAAAAATGTATATATGTATTTGTTAGGTTTAGTTTTCAAAAATCAAACTTTCACAAAGATAAGATCGAGAAGGTATTTTCCCAGCAATACTTTTGGACCTGCAACCTTCATAATATATATATATATATATATATATATAACTATGTACAGAAGCACTTGAAATAAAATAATTTAATTTTTTACATTAATTACAAAATACAGTTTTAAATGTAAATTTTTTCATTAACTTTTTTGTACCTTCCTGCATTTTGCAAAACAAAATTAAATATTTAAATATTCTTTGCATGAATAACAACTATATTTTGTTTGTAATTTTATTTTATTGCACTTCTGATACTGTTTTTATTTGTTACTGTGTAAAGCAATGTGGTACTGGTGAAATCTTCTTTTATTGTTTTAATCAGAGTACTGATAATTCATTTAATCATTACATATTTTTAAAACAAGGTGAAGCTGATGAGGCCACTCCTTATTGTGTATGTCAAAGAGCCCAAAAGTTGTTCATTTGTTTAGTGAAAAGCAAGGTTTTACTGTTGATGTCACCATATTCTGCATAAATCAGGATGTTGAGTTACTTTATTTATGTTTCAAGCAAAGTGCGACAAGTGTTTGAATTTTACTAAATCAAGTGGTTTCATTACTTTCACCACTTGCTGTGTGTGTGTAATGTGCTACTGGTAACATTCCTGTGAATAGGAAAGCGAAACTGAAAAGATCTTAAGTAATTTTTAAGTAACAAACAACTTACCCCCCCCCCCTCTTTATTTAATACAGGGTGTCTAAGAATTTTCGAAACACTTGAAAAATCTTACTGGGAAAACCATTTAACATAGAGACACACGTTTTGTTGCATGTGCAAAAATTATGTTTAAAATTTTTTTGAAAGCATACAATTACCATAGTTCGATATGTGGTTCAAGAGATACATGCACAACGTCCAGCCTGTACTCAGTCTTCTGCCAAATATTTTCCAACCATGCAGGAGTAATCTTTGTGAAGGCTTCTTGGACATATCGACACGATTCATCGATACTCCTTACCGGCACAAACCTTGTCCGTTATGAAGTTGTATAAAAATGTCCAGTCTTAATGTACGGAGAATGGGGGGACTTCCCACCCAATCCATCAACTGATTGGAGGAATACTTCATCAAGTCTTTTGCAGATGTAAAAAAAAAAAACAACTTTAAACGTTATTCTTGCACGTGCAACAAACTGTGTGTCTATGTTAAGTGATTTTGAAAATTTTCCAAAATTTATCGTCACCCTGTATAGCAGAACACATACAAAAAACCCTGTCTCTTCAGTATACAATTTTGTTTGCATTATAAATTATACCTGGAAATGTCTGTTAAATTAGCTTTGAAAAATAAAATAACGCCAGTAAACTTTGATCTTGTTTTATGGTTTATTTGCAATAGCGATGTAAATGTTCGGCTTTTCATATATTCATATTCTAAAGTGTAAGTCAAACGCTACGTAATTGACTAATCTGATTGTATATAAATTTAATTTCTTCGTTCAAAGAAACTTTCTTGATTATGTGACTTCAAAGAAAGTTCTTGTTTGAAATGATTTGGTAATTAATATAGCCTCGTTGTGTGTATAGTTTGTTAGTATTTGATTAGTCCTGTATGTCAAAAATAAAATGTTTCGGTATACATTGTGCTGATATTCTCACGCGCGTAACTTCCCAACCAATCCCACTGCCTGAGAAAATAAAGTGCAGTAGTGAACGTCAAACGACGCTGTTTCGTACCGAAGGTAGTACACACGTGTGATATTTCACGTGCGAAAGTTAGTAGCGAAAGTCAAGCGATTCCGTTTCCCTCACTATAAATGAACACTAGGTGATTATAGTATTTTGGCACTTGTGTATAAAGTTCAAATCATAAATAATATTCAACGTTAAACTGGTACACAATTAACAACATTTTATTTAGGCCTATCTATGGCCTTCAAAAAGTTGACGACTCTACATGTTTAGACGTTACAACACGTAGAGTTGTCAACTTTTTGAAGGCCATAGATAGGCCTAAATAAAATGTTTTTAATTGTGTACCAGTTTAACGTTGAATATCATTTATGATTTGAACACTAGGTGGTATCAGCTTACATTACTGAACTGCTTGGTTTGTTATTATATCAGTGACATAACTTGCATGTCCAAAAATAATGCAACAAATAACTCGGATTCTTGTGAAGCATAATAACTTCTACCAAAACTGTATTTGGATAATACACAAAATAATTTTATAAGTGTATAAAAAAAATGATAAATCTTTAACTTTAGAATTTTGCAACTGAAAAAAAAATAGCAGAGCTTCGAACAAACTTTGGATTATTTTAGTAATTTGTTATGGAAATTAATTTAATTTTTCTTGTAATTGTTAGAATCATTTTACAATTAGGAGCATTTGATAGAACAGTCCCGTATATAAAAACAGACCGGACCTGTAAAATGCCGCCAAAATTGATATGTGAATACAGAGGTGTAATGACCAGTCACATATCCACTAACTAAAACAATAACGGAAACAGAAGTACACATAGCTATAAAAAACACCAAAAACAAAGCACCAGGTGAAGATGGAATACAGACCATCCTTCTCAAAAAAGGCACTCGGAGATTGTATGAACACCTAACGGCAATATTTAACTTATCACTGAGCTCTGGATATATCCCGGTTTCTTGGAAGCAAGCGACAGTACTAATGTTCCATAAAGAAGGAAAGCCAGCAAATAAACCAAATAATTACCGCCCGATCAGCCTGACCAGCTGTGTAGGAAAAATTCTAGAACGCATAATAAGCAATAGACTTTCAAATTATCTTGAAGTAAATTCAAAATTACCTGAAACACAAAACGGATTCAGAAAATTTAGACAAACAACAGATCATTTAGTAAGATTAACAGAAACAATAATTGACAGTTACAACAAAAAAGAATGCACAGTCGCCTGCTTTCTCGACGTCGAGAAAGCA